AGAGAAATATGAAGAGAACTGGATTGAACTTTATAGCACTTCTCAACAATTGCGAGCAAGTTAATCAATAAAACGGTGGTTATAATCAGCTTTCTCACAACAAGTCAATACTCCTACTTAAACAACTTCTTTAATGAATTGTAATTTACTTGTATTTTATATAGTAGTTGTCTTATAGAATAAAAGATTTTTAATGTATGGCATGCTCATTGCTATTCAATTTACACAGAATAAAGAAATTCGTTTTGAGGCCTTTAATTTGCTTTCCAAAATAAATTAGTCCAAATAGAAGCTGAGAAAACTTAATTTAAAGATATTGCTAATTTGAGGTTTTAAAAAAATATTCATTCAACTTTAAACACCTCGTCTAGCCTTATTTCTTATCCAAATTTGACAAATTTTTTTTAAATGATAGAGAATTCAATTTCCTTTTAGAATAAATTAACTCCGATAATATACAACATAGTTTAAATGTTTTTTAAATAGCTTAAATGAGTGTACTGTCATAAAACAAAAGGATGTTGAAGAACATCTATTTTAGGATCAATTTACAGTTGCTTTAAATGTTATATTTTGGATGTAATTAAATATATTAAAACTATCACTTTTATATATCATTTGATAAAATATTCATTCAACTTTAAGCTACCCTTCTACCCTTATTTCTTATCCAAATTTAACAAAATTTGTTTTGAATTGTAGAGAATTCATTTTCCTTCTAGAATAAATTAACTCCGATAATATACAATGTTATTTTAACACTGATCAATTAGGTTAAACACATGTACTATCTAAATACGAAATTATGATGAAGAACATCAATTCTACCAATTGATTTACAGTTGTTTTAAATATTTATAGTTAGATTGAATGATATATATTAAAAATGTCACTTTTATATAATATTTTCTTTTAAATTTGAAAGAAAATGATAGTCCCAATTGTTACATAGACACTTGTACTAGTTTTTTGCATGGTTGCTTTAATTCTTAAATTTTGTTATAGTTTTTTTTAATGTAACCCATTCAAAAATATATTTCGTATATATGAAGTAGAAAAATTCAATTTCTACTGTTTTTTTTGGAACAAATTTCATTAAAATCTGTCCAGTAGGAGTCTAGAAAAGTTACTTTAAAAATATGCACTTTTATAGGTGTTTTAGAAAATATTAGTTCATCTTCAGACAGCTCCTCCTCCCTTATTTCTCATTTGATTTTAGTCAAATTTCTTGCAAAATACTCCAAATTCAATTGCCTTTTCAAATATCCAACTGCCATAGCAGAAATGATTTCATTCATTCCGTTTGAATAGTTTAAACAAGGTAACAGTCAGTAAGAAAAATTGTAATTTTTTGAATTGTTGGATGGTGATTGGATAATAGATTCAATGACCTACTTAATGAATGGCACATTATGACTTGACTTTTCTAGGTCAACTATCTGGTGACTGAATAAGATTTTCATTGACCTACATTAAAAATATTGCTTAAAGAATATAT